GTGCAGCACTTGGGGTTGGGAGCCAAGGGGAGAGAAAGCAGCTTTGCAGAAAATCTTCTGGTGAGTAAGGAGCTGAAGAGGGGCCTGTGTGCCCTTCCAGCAGTGGAATTTGGCTGCCTGCCTTAGGAAGAGCATCTGGAGTGCAGGATCCAGGTTGGGGATCTCCAGGCCAAGAAAGACTTTTGACAAGCTTGAGCAATCCCAACCATCAAGATGAAGTGCATGAGGAGGGGCTGAAATGGCTTTGGTTTAACCCTGGAAAACAGGAGGGGGGTAGATGGAGTGCCCAGAGCCAGACCCTTCTGAGAATCTGGATGGAGAACGAATGAGAAGGAATGGACACGAGTTACAGGAAGGGAGATTCTCCTGGGGTGGAAGGAGGAAATTCCTGCCAGTGGTCAGATGGTGGAGTTGTGGAGAAGCTGTGCTCTCTCTCCCCTGCAGATGTTCTTAACTGGGCTGTACAAGCTGCTGAGCAACAGGATCTATCTCCAAAAGTAGCCCTGAAGTCACTTTCAGCCTGATTATTCTGCAATTCTTTGATGACTCCAGGTAACAGAGCAGTGATGCTGTCCCAGGTCAGGGTGGCTTCTCTCTCTGATGGTGACACCGCTCCAGATGTAATTCCAGTTGCTGGTGCTTCCAGGCTGTACTTTCCCTGCTGCTTGTGGCTGACAGCAAGACTCCTGTACCCCAAAGTGTCTCCCCTTCAGTTCACCTTTCCACCCTAATTTATGTAAAGAGAGAACATTCCCACCACCTGGAGGGTCTGCTGTGGGGTTTTATGTGGAAGATTGACCTGGCAAAACATTTCCTTTAGTTCTTAGGGGGAAAAGGCTTGTTTCTGCTTTGAATTTTCCAGCAGCAGATGTAACCTTGTGTGGCTTTCCTTCACACCTGTCTCTCTTCTCGTGGGTTTAGTCCTCCAGCTGCAGATTTTTAGATGTTCAGCTGTCTGCATGAGAGATGAAAGGAGGAAAAAATGATTAAAAAAAAAGAATTATGAAAGAGAATAATAGCATTGGGAGTCTGGGAAACCCCACTGAGGGTTTACTGAGAAGGTTAAAACACAGTACAAACAAGAAATAAGTGGTGTGAGAGAAGCAGACACTGAGGAGGTAGTTTGGTAACAGATGAGTTTAAGCTGTAATGAGGAAAAATGACAGAAGCAGGGAGAAGAAATACAGGAAAAAAAATTGTTTTCTGTATTAAAGTAATTAATTAGGGTAGTCAAATGGAGTCTTTAAAATAGAGAAAGTTTTCCTTGCTGTTTCTGGGGTGGCATGTGTGCTTTGCTCAGTCATTGGACTGGGTTTAATACCTTTTTACTGTCAGTTTCCTCCTAGATCTTGGAAAATAAATTATCACATTAGCATATAATTTGGGTACTTCTAGTAAGTTCCATCACTTTTATTTGTGCCACAGCCCTTTCCGAGGGGCTGCCAAGTGTCTGTAGCGCTTGACTGTTTTGACTAGTGCAGCTTGGTTTTCCCATAGCTGGGTTTGTGTGACAGGAGCTCTGTTAGCAGGACTTTTCGGGGATTTTGCAGTAGCCACCTTGGGTGTGTTGGGAATATTGCACTGCTCCCGCTGTCCTGGCATGAGGTTTATTGTGGATCTGTTAAAGCCTGCCTGGTCAGCGTGGTTGGGAGGTGTGTTTTGAGATCAGCTGGCATGTGTGACCTCTGTGAGACCCCCCCCGTTACGTGAGGCTTTCATGTGTAAGAACTTCACCAGTGAAACGTTGCTTACAGAGTTTCAGGGCTGTGTGGGAACACTGTTGCCAGAATTGGCAGAAAATAGACCCTGTGTTTTATACAAAAGCAAACCCCAATAATAAAATATTCTTTCAAGTCACCAACTAAGAAAGCTTTTCTAAAGCCTTCTGTGTTGGGAAAGCAGGCTGGTGTAATAGAATAACTGCAAAATAATGATTGGCTAAAGAGACTAATGAGCTCAGTTTTCCGAGCGGGATTAATCCCGTGTTTAGCTCGGGATTTCCTGCGTGTGGAGCCCGGATTCTCCGCAGTCACAGGGGCTGTCCCAGCGGCGTGAAAAATGAGATGTGGAGGGCTCGGACGGGGCTCTCGGGCGGCCACGGGACCCGTGGCAGTGAATAATTGCGGAATAGAAGCTCATTGACTAAAGCCTGGTTTACGTGGGGCTGAAGCTGGAGTAAACAGTTTAGATTACTGGGAAGTGACGGGTGCTTTCGATTCATATAATTCTTTGGCTAAATCCTGTTAAAAGGAGCTGCATTCTAGAGAAAAGAGAAGTGGTTTGGGAGGCGCCGTGGAGAGGAACTTGGTGCATTTTTTTTTGGGGGGGGGGGGGGGGTTGGTGTGCCGGGAGTATTTTAGTACTTGTGTGACTAAGTGGATATTTATTTTGCCTTAATGTGTATTTGATTATATTACATCAGCTATAAATACTGGAAGCTCTAAAGCATCTATTTCTCTGTCTGTCTCTAATCTTGGCTTTTGAGGAACATTTAATGTCTTGTTGTGGTTGCAATTAATCTGCGTGTGTTTTAGCAATTAGTGTTTATGTGCAGCAGCGGATTCTGGCAACTGTCAGTCAGCAGCTGTAACAGGCTCTGAAGAAAGGATGGCAGAAAACACAAGGTGATTTCCTGCCTGCCTGGTTATTTGGGAACACAGTTTTGTGGACAAACACTCTTTCTGGCCCGAGTTACGTGCTGTGATTCCCCGTGTAGGCAGTGAGGGGCAGAGGAATTGTGGTATTGTCATGGCTTTGATGTGATAGAGCTCTTTGCTGCTCTCCCAATTTAATGGGCTAACGTTTAATTTACTTTCTTCACCACCTTTTCCAGCAGCTGCTGGTTCTTAGTTTCTTGTAATTTGCCTTTATGTGGAGATGTTAGTTTGTTTTAAAAAAACCTTCATTATCATCTAGAATAACGTCTGTCCCCTGTGAGCCATTAACAGAGGGGTGACAAAATACGTAAAAATTCGAGGCATCGGAATTCTTCTTGGCTAAGATTTAATAAAACTGATAATACGACACTGTACAAGCAAAGTACAGATGGAGGAGGGAAAATGGTTTGTTTTGAACAGAGAGCATCTCTGGCAGTTCACATTTATGAACTGCCTACTGTGTTGGTAGCCCCTGGTCTTGAGTACTCCCTACATCTCCGAGGTGTGGGAGCACCCTGCCTGTGATTGCTTTTTCCTTAGTGTTTGCTTTGAGGCTGTTTTGTTTTTTTAAAGGAAGTGGAAAAACTTAAGACTAAGAGGTACTGGCAGAACAGTGCAGCTTAGTAAAGCCGATCTGGACGTGTTATGGAATCTGACCTGGAATATGCCCTGGGCTGGGACTGGGAAGTCCTCCGGCTGCTCCTGGCTCTGCGGGCTGGACACCTCGAGCGAGTCACTGCGCCTTTCCCTGGCAGCCACCACCTGTAAAATGGAGATAAAAATAATGATCTTCCTTCAGCTGTTTTCCAGGCTGCAGGAGGTGGGCACGGTACCAGTGTCCTCATTAGCATTTTTTAATAAGGCTCTGCAGATTAATGCCTTGCCCTGGATTGAAGTGGCGGGAGCCGAGGGCCGGTGTCTCACTCTGCCTCCTCCCCTCTCCTGGGCTCTGCTGCCCTGAAACCTGGGCAGGAGGAAGTTTATTGCAGTGGGGTGTGTGGACAACACCTGAATTCCTTGCCCTGAGGAGCACAGGGTGGGTGTGTGAGAGCAGCAGGTATTGATGTTGTACCTGTCGTCCCACTGCTTTGAGCCGTAACAATTCCCTCTTGCTTTAAGTAGATTTAAATCTATTTTAAACAAGGAGGCAGTAAAATGTTCAGGATCTGCAAAACAGCTTCCCTTTCCATCCCATTGCTCATTATCTGTGCCTTCTATTTGGATTTTTTCCCTCTACATCTTGATGAGAGAAATGCTACAAAGGCATGAGTTTGGGAGGCTTTGGCCCCGTTTGCCAGGTGCTCAGCTGGGTTTTGAGTGTGTCAGCTGTGTTTGCTGCTGCAGATTGTGGAGTAGGTAATTGCAATTTGTTTTATGCACTTTATAAGTGGGCTAACAGCTCTTTTTGCACATTATTTTTGTTGCTTCGTGTGAAGAATAGAGGGGAGTTTAAGAGTCACTTCACATAAAAATACATAAATTATTTAAGACTATTAGAGAGTCAAAGTTCATCAACCAAAAGAGAATCTTCAGTTAGACCTCCCCAAAAATACAGAAATAAACTGCGCTTTCGCAGGGAGGAATTTACCTTATCATACCTTTTTTTGATGTTGTGTGGGTTCAGTAATTGGTATTTTTATTAATAATTCATTACATTTTCATACAGTTTCTTTGTAACTACCTGTTGTCGTAAAGTGGCTGATGTGTATCTTTGGGGTTTTTTTAACTGTATCACTTCTGTATGAAACCCACCCTCTGATAGGTGCTGGGAACCACTGATTGCTGTGTATTTTCTAGACAGGTGACCCCAAGGGATTTATACTGCTTAGGAGCCCACTATTAGATGCTGTTTATTACAGGATTTTTCCAAATCTTCATCACGGGGAAGAAACAAAAGAATGAAAATTTGGACGACTGGAGTCAAATTATGAGGAAAGCAGAGTTTCAACCTTTGAATGTAATTTCACTGCTAGCAGACCACCTTGAAATCTTATTTTATCCAAGTATTGTTGGTGAAGGAGGCACTACCCATCTCCCTCCCTCTGCCCTGCCTTCAGAGTGTGTGTTGCCGTGGTTAAGCCCAGTTGGTGGGGCAGGAGCAGGCTGGAAAAACAGAACTCCCAGGTTTGGAGGGAAGCACTTCCCACTGAGCCTTTGAATGGCCAAGTCTTGGGGGGATTTGGGGGAAAAGAGGGATGAGAAACAGCGCTTTCATGTGAGAAACAAAGCCAAACTACGTGTTGCTCCATTCCTGTCGCTCCTGTTGTTTGGATCTGTGGCGGGGCAGGTGGTCCCGCTGCCGGGTGTTTTCCCGTGTCTCTGACGGTCCCTTCCCTCCTGCAGGTGCTGATGTGACAGGGACAGAGCCCAGCAGCTCTGACAGCAGGGGGGAGCGGCCGGACCCCTACGCCAACGTGGAGGAGGCTCTCCTGGGCGGGGAATCCAGCTACATCCACCAGCCCCTGACCCCGGAGAAGGAGGACGCGCTCCAGGCCGCCACGGTCGCCAACCTGCGCGCGGCTCTCATGAGTAAGAACAGTTTGCTGTCCCTGAAAGCCGACATGCTGGGCGAGGACAGCTCCCTGCTCTTCGAGTACCTACCCAAAGGCACCCACTCGCTCTCTCGTAAGTTGGTGTTCTTATATATATGTTTATTTTTTTTTCTTTGTATAAGGGAAATCTTTAATGAGGAGAAAACACAGGTCACCGCCTCGTTTCTTACCGCTGACGTGTTTGTATCCGATTTTTTTCTTTTCTGTAAAATTTGGAAACCTGTGTCTGATACTGATCCATGGAAGAGAATATTCTCTCTGTAGCGGTCACCCTCAAATTTCTGTTTCACTGCTTTGCAAAACTTTGCAAACAAAATACAGAATATTTGTGGTGAAGGAGTAACTCCATGTTTCGAATCCAAACATGATCGATGTTGAACAGCTTTACTGTTGCTCCTGTGTCTGTGGGAACAGTTGGGGTGTTGCAGATTGCATGTTCCTTATTTGGACCTGTAAGTAATGAGCAGCAATTGATTGTTTTGTTGTAAGTGCACGTGGAAACGAATGTTTTTCTACTGGTCATCTGTTGGGGACAGCTAATGTGAACCATTAGGTGCGGAGAGTTGATTTTTCAGCATATTTTTGTGTTTCCTTTGTTGAAGTTTGATTCTCTAGTGCATAAAGAGGCAGAAATGATAAGTGCTGTATTTTAATAATGCTCTCAGAAGGTGGGGATGTCACTTGTGACACAGAATAGGGCAAGCAGCAGCTTTCTGAGGACTACATGGAAATTTCCAGGAGAAAATGTTTATTTTCATTTATGCTGAGAAAACTGACCAGTTAAATAGAGCGACAAGTTCACTTAATATATCTATATTCTGTTTTCCTTCTGTTCCCTTAATGGCAAAAGATAAATAATGGTCACAGAGTCAGAGAATGAATCAAAGAATCATAGAGTAGTTTGGGATGGAAGGCACCTTGAAGACCATCTTATTCCACCCCCCCTGCCATGGGCAGGCACACCTTCCACTTGACCAGGTTGCTCCAAACCCTGTCCAAGCTGGTCACTGGAGTTGTAGGACAAAGGGAAATAACTGCACAAGGTAGTGGCAGACTTAGTGTCTCTTTTCACTTCTTGTGTCTAAACAGTGGGATTATTTAAAAAAAAAAAAAATCAATCTCTCCAAAGACCCTCAGGTTTCTGTACCTTATTTTGCAGCTCAAGTGTTTGTGGGGAACGGCCGATGCCGCCTTCTGGTTTGTGTCGCGGTAACTCACCGAATGATCTCCGGTTAAATCAGACTTAGATGGTTCAGGCTGCGCTCCGGGGCTTGGAAATCCCTCCATGGCCATGGAATAGCACAGATTCTGCCTCAGTTGAGTGGCTGGGTTTGCGTGCAGGGAGCAGAGTGCCCTCAGCTGGCACCGGGACAGGGCGAGCCTGGATCGATGGCGACCGCGGGTGATTGATGCGCCGCGGGTTCCGATCCGTGACTCGTGACAGGCGGAATCAGCGCTTTCATCTTCTGTCATGATAAACTGGAGTAATGATGGGGCTGCCCTCTATCCATCATCCTTCTCCTGGTTGGAGGATTTTTTAGGTTTTGCTTAAAAATTGAAGCACCACTTGGCGTAAAGACAAATGAGTATAAGGCAGTCGTAAATCCGGGCTGGGAATTAGAGATTGCCCAGCCAGCTGAGAAGGGAAATTTGGGGACAGTCATGGTGTAGGCAGAAAACTTTCTAAAATAAACTAAAATAAAGCTGGATGCATTAGGAAAGGGGATGGTTGGTACCTCACTGAGGGGTACCAGGCTCAGGAGGTCCTTCCAGCATGTATGTGAGGTCCTTGCTTTCCATCTTCTCACTGTCACTTGAATTTCACTCAGCTGAGCTTCAGTTATCTCATCTTCATGGAAGCGAAGTGAAATGCCCACGTCAGAAAGAGGACTGCCCGCTTGATCTGTAGCTCTCACCCCAGTCGGGGATGTCGCTGTGGCCTGGTAAGGGGCTTTTTACGGAAGCAGGGAGTTAAGGGACATATTTTTCTTTCATCTTATTCAGATTCACAGGTACCAATTTATTTTAATCACTTGAAAAAGATCTTCTGATACACGATTCACTTTTAAGTGGCCATCACTGAATACAATAGGGCATCAAGTTTAACGAGAATTTTCGGTGTATAAAATGACAGTGAAGTGAGTGGTGAGAAGATTGTGGAGATCTAAAAGCACAGTCTAGGCTGGTGCTGGCTTTGTAGGTGTTTTTGACATTTTTTCTTCAAAAACAATTTGAGGATGTTGAGTCATTTTAAGTCCTGAGTTATATTAAAAAAAAAAAAAAAAAAAAGAGGGAGGGAGGGAGGAGTAAGCCAGAGCACAGTGAAAAAGATTGTATTTAACAAAACAACCAAACCCAGCAGTTTTCACCTGTCTGATATGAAAAAGAAATGCACTAATTTGGGGGATTATAAGTGATCAGTCTCTCTTGACTTTAAAAACTGTGAAGTGTTTTTTTAATCTTGGCTGCTGTCACTGGATTGTCTTTTTGTTCTCTTACGAAGCACTGCAGGACATAAGTGGCTCAAGGAACAGTGTCCAGGTTTATTTTGGTTTTCTGGAGGAAAAAAGACTTAATGGAGGTGGACAGATGCAAAGAGAATATTAAACATGTTTAAAACTTGGACAAGCCATTTCCAAAGGGCATAGATATTACTCTCCAAGTAATGCATACATTAAAAGTTGTTATTATTTGTTCTTCTGCATTCTTCATCCTGTTGTAGAAGTTAGGGGATACCCCAAGGTTTTCATTTTCCCCCTGTTCTTTTTTCCTGATTCACTCTGTGTGTAAAGATCATACCAGATATGAAGCTCTTTGACATTCTGCTGGTGCAAAACGAAGCCCAGAACACGTTGGGGGGTTGGTGATGGTTCTATTGTACCACTGTAAGCAGTTAACCAGTTCAAACCAATTTAAAATCGGTAGGAAAAAATTTTAAATTTGGGTGGCACAGGTTCCAGATAACCTGCAGCTGAAGGGCTCTGCGAGTTTGACGTTCGCGACGTGCGATCGAGACTGACGTTGTTCGTGTGCTTGTCAGGAACCTGGAAGGTGCAGCCTTTGCAGGGAAAAAGGGACGTGTGAGTTGCTCTTGGGTAACACCGACATCATCTGGGGAACTGTTGGCTGTTGAACCCGCGTGGCTCCCTGCTGGGGGTGCCTTTCGGATGAGGCATCGTGAGAAATTCAGCTTTCCTGGTCTTTGACTTGTTTCCTTGGTCTGCCTGTTAAAAGCAGGTGGTTGTTCCGTGATTTCTGACTTCAGCAGAGCTCCTCGGTTTGATAACGTGTGTCTTGTTCCATTTGTGAGCCTGAACTTTGGTAACATTGTTCCCCACGGTTACATCACGTGGCCAGAAGTCTCAAAGGCTTTAGTTCCAGTCTTTTGAGCTGGTTTTGCCAAGTATAATCAGGAGAACGGGAATTTTAATATTCATTAGAAAATGAGGTGGTTAGTTCACATCCTTGTTTTCTTATTAAGGGAAAAAAAAAAAAAAAAGAGAATTTTAGGGCCATGGGATGACTGGCTCCCTTAAAGGGCAACTTCCACGTTTCAGAATAGTACATTGCATGCTTTTTTATATGTCTAAGTTTGGCTTTTCCTGTTTACCCTGTTGCAACTGAAACTGTTTATAGAAGCAATTCCTATGAAGCTTCCAGTCCAAGTGATTACATGGTACACAGAGCCCTTTTCTTTTGGGCAAACCAACTAATAGGTTATTTTTAGTTAGTGGTTCATTGGAGCCAATAATTTATTCTTGCACTGGATGTTAGGGAACACATTTTACACAGTGGTTGACTTTTCCCAAGAGGAAGTTAAAGGTATTCAGTTTGGCATGGAATTTTTGTACATGGTAAACGAAGATTTAGGGGAGAATGGATGCAATTTTAAATGAGATATAATAACTTTGCCTTTTACTTTTCCACAGTAATTTGCTGACCAGCTGTCAGAGAATGCTGTATTCGTATAAAAACTGCTAAACCCCTGCTTCATCCTCTGTATGAAGGAAAATGCTTTTGATTTCTGATTTAGGAAGTAAAACCATTTTCGATTAAAATTTGTTTCTGCACAAATTTAGGAGGGAAAAAGTTTTCTCACAGCACCAGTCAGAACGGGACAAAACATAAATCCAGGTTCTGGTGTACAAAGTGTGGGTCATTGATGTCGGTTTCTTCTCTTTGTGTTACTTGCAGTTGTTGAAACCAAATAAATATTAAATATTGCTTGAAAACTCATCTTTGTACTTTGTTGTGTTGTACATCTTGGTGGCTCAGTTGGATCATAGTTTATTGTTTCACTGTGCTCTACTTCACTGCTCGTTCATGAGCCTTAACTTTTGCTTTAAGAAGTGCAGAGTTTCTTGGGAGCCTTTGGAACTCTGGAGAGGTGCTAAAAAAGAATTATTCAAGCCAGACCCCACTGGCTTATCTTTACTGCATGCTGAAGTACCATTAGTTATAGGAATTGCAACCCAGAGATGCCTCTGGGGCAGTTTGAATCAGTTTGGGGTGTTCAAGGGGGGGAAAAAAAAGGAATGTGTGGCTGCCTAGGCAGGAATTCTGCTATGGACTTGGAGAGCTGGATTCCTGCTAATGGTTTCTAACAGGAAATACTGATGAAATCCTGGTTTTTCTGATTTTTTTTTTTCTATCTTCAATATATGGGATTTTAGCATTTTGTTGTCCTACCCTTAAATTACAACAGCAACAGATGAGCACCACTGGAGTGAAACCTTTGGAGCCTTGTTATCCCAGCTGAACAGAGTCGAATAAGTTGTAAAAGACTTCAATCTGGGATCAAAGCGGAGGAAGGTAAATCAAACATCCAGCTTGTGGCACAAGAGCAGAATTTCCTTTGATAGCTGATTAAAAAAAAAAAAAAAAAAAAAAAAAAAAGTAAGGTTTGGGATTGTTCACGTTTCTTGGTGTGGTTTGACTCGAGTGCTTTGTTGTCACCCAGATCACAGCGCTTTGTATTCGGACACAGTGTAAACTGCGACTTGTTATTTGTAGCCTCGTTGGAGGGTGTGTTTTTTTGTATCCCTGAAGGTGCCAATCAGACTCTTCTTGTGCCGGAAATGGAAAAGCCTTTAGGGCATAGAATGCTTCAAGTACAAAGTTGTTTATTTTATGCCGTATTTGCTTCTGGTTTTGCCTCCTTGCTTTTCAAAAAGAACGACCCGCTCAGTATGTCATTCCAATATTCATTCAAGGCGTGTGCTAAAGCTTCTTTAATAATTTATGATGTACACTGATTTGGATGGCACGGTCTTTATTTGTATTTAGCTTTGTCATTGATTTTTTCGGGACAGTTTCTGGAATATTGTTTTCTATTTGGTTGTTGCTACAGCGTAGGCAAGAGGGTACAACTCTGCTTGGGCCGGACACAGCATGTTTTCCTTCTGATCTAAAGGAGATTTTTTAGACTGTAATGACTGTTAGGTGTAATTGAAGAGTTTTGTACAAATATTTGAACTTCCTTGCTTGTTAACTGTAGAATGACAGGAATCCTTTCTCCCATCTTTTGTAAAGCACTTTGAGATCAAGGACTGACAGCCCGATATTAAATAAACCGCCACGGACAGATCTTGAAATCTGAACCTTTCGAGTTAGTGGAACGAAGTCTGTGTGCGTGTTCCTTAAAGATGGAAATTTATGTGTTTGGGATGGTGCTTCTCCAAGAGAAATGGGATTGCTCTGGATATTTGTGCTGCACTGTGCTTCTCTCTCTCCTGACGGACTCCGTAGTGACCGTGCCGTGCCGTGTAACTCCAGCACATGCATTTGGGTGGGGAGGCTGGTTTTAAAAAAAAAAAAACCAAAAAACAACCCAAGGAACCAACCAGAAAGACCAAAAAGCCTGGCATCCCTGTCCTGCTGCGTTCCCTCCCGCTGACAGAAGATGAGCTGCGAGTGCTGGGGCGCTGCCTTTGCGAGGCCGTTTTTAAAGCCACCAGCTGGTGCTCGTTCACGTGGGTGAGACTCGTTTCCTGTGTTCCCCAGGGCCTGGCACCAACTCGAATCCTTCAAGGGGCGAATGTGATGGCAAAGTGGAAGCACCATCTCCCCCGCTGCCTTCAGCACACCTTGCCACTCAGAGCCCCCCCGGGATCTGCTCTTCTGGTGAAATGTCACCAGAAACTGTGATAAAAGGAGAGGTGCCTTCCTCAGCCCAGGTAAGATCGGGGGGGAGAAGTGCAAAGGAATTGAAATGCAAAGGTGTCTGTTTGATCAAATCCTTCTCAGTTAGGAGTTTGAAAGGCCTAATACCTTCTACTTTAGTCTGTTAGTTTTTGTAAAAGGAACACAGGTTATTTTAAAACTAGAAGTCTCTTGAGGTCAGGGCTGGTGCTGTCCCAGTTTTAGCCTTTTTGCCTTACCTGAACAGAACTTCCATTCAAAAACCTCTGGTTTTGGGTTTTTTTTAATATACCTGCCCTTTTTGTTGTAAATCCCTTCATTTGCACAACATTGCACACAAGCTTGTGAAGATAGCTGAGACTTCAGCTACCTATTGCTCACTTCTGGCATTCTGCATTGGGGTTTCTTGTAGCTGCCTAAATTCAGACAGAAGTAGGCTGTTGGCCCTGTTACAGAATCAGGAGTTTGACCTAAAATCCATCATTTTCTGTGGCATTTCTTAATGTTTTTAAGTGAGGCTTTAATTCCGTTAAACAAATGGATGGGAACACAGATTTTCCTCTGCAGTCCCTGTAGGGTGAAGTGAGCTGGTCTGCCTGGGCTGCACAGACCTGCCGAGGCTGCAGCGTGGCTCTGCCTCATACAGGGTTGCCATCTGCCACACACTGGCATGTCGCAAAGGGTTTATGAAGAAAAAAAAAAGAATAAAATCAGCTTTTATTTAGAATATGGCCCAGCAGTGCCAGAGAGCATTGCATAAAGGGAGTTTGTCTTCTACGGGCTTCTCTGTGTGGAAAGGAAAAGTAGCTGTGGAGGGCTAAGGGAGAATTCTGCAGTTCTGTTTTACCTGCTGTAAATTTTCCGCCCGGAGTTTCCCTTTGGCCTGAGTGGGAGCTACGGATGCTTAGCGAGACTGGAAACTGGGTGGTTACCCAGGACCTAAACAGGAATGTTGCTTACTGTCTTCAAAGCACCAAATCCTGCAAAATACATCACAGTTCACTGCTTTGGCAGGAAAAGCTTTGTAAAGGCACGTAGGGCTGCCGGGCCAAGTGGTTGAGCCTCCCTTAGAGAAGGGGGGAAGGCAGTGCCAGCAGTGGGAGTGGGAGCTCTGCCTGCAAGGACAGAGCCTTGTAAATACCTGCCTTAACCTCCGTGTGCTTTTCCTTTGCAGGCCGCTTACGACAGAGTGCTGGCACTTTGGCAGTTTGATAACTCTGACTCGGGTAAGCAGAGAGGAAAATATTTCTTTCGGCTGTCATTGTTTTCCGCCTGAAGACACTGATCTCTGCACGTGTGTCCGTGGTTCCGTTTCAGACACGAGTTTCTCCAGGCCCGAAGACGCAGACATTGCCACCGATGGGACGTTCCTGGACTCAGCCCTGGCCAAGAGGCTGACCTGTGGCTTCTGCAGGAGGGTGTTCCAGTGTGCTGAGGAGCTGAAGGAGCACATCCACAAGCACACCTTCTCCACGCTTCTCCCGCTGGACGTGGTCGACTGCTCCCGGCCCGGCCTCGCCGACGGCGTTCCCGCCGGCCAGCTCGGCCGCTTCCAGTGCTCCAAGTGCCCCGCCAGCTTCACTCTGAAATCCAACATGGATCGCCACGAAAAGACCATCCACTTCCACTGTAAGAAGATGCAGTGTCCTAACTGTGCCAAGCTGTTCCGAGACAAGACAGACTTAAACCGGCACCTTCTGTCCGTGCACTCAAGCGAGCGCACCTTTGTCTGTCTCTGCTGTGGGAAGGGCTTCGGTACCCAGAAGAACCTCAGTAGCCACGTGAAAACGTGTTACCTGGGCTCTGCCCACCTGGCTGGGCTGGAGCTTTTGGACAGTGTAGGACCGAGCGAGGATCCTGAGGATGTGTAGCTGCTGTGTCGTGTCATTATGAGACGCTTCCCTAAACTAGGAAAAGCGAATCGTTCCGTGGTTTCTCGTGCTGCAAATAAACCTTCCACGGGTGTCATTTCAGAGAGTAACTCCCCAAAGCTGATCAGTTGATGCTGTGCTGGTTCCAGATCCTGTGTCACTGCAGCCTCGGTGCAGTTTTTGTGCAGAGACAACTTTTGTCAGTCCACACAGCGGGCACTTTGGCTGTTTTATTGGTGTGCTCATGCTGTGTTCTTACACTACCTTTGACTTTATCAGTAGATCTCAAAGTGCTTTATAAAAGAAACGGTGAAGTTTTCCTCCTATTCTCTGGGAAAATAACATATCTCAGGTGGTTGAAAGTACTAGTAATAGAGCTAATAAGAGAATTCAGTTCCAAGGTCTGCTCTAGTACTGTGCCTTTAGACAATTTGGGCATTTCAGGGATTTTCAGTGTGGACTTAGGAGCTGTGGAAGCACTGGGTTGCTCAGCTTTGTAAGCTGTTTGTAAAGTCTGGTTTTCTGTGTCTTTTAAAGGAGAAAAACATGCTGCTTGTTCGTATGTGCAACAGGGTTTGAAAGCTGTCTCAAGGCTTGTATGTTTTATTGGCATTATATTTGACTACTCTTAGGACTTCTTTTTAAGAATCATCCTGGAGTGTGGTTCTCAGGAATTCTGTACATTTTTGTGACTCATTTGTTTTATGTACTGTAATTAAATCAGCCAGGCTGAGTGTGTGGTGTTGAAGCAGAGGAAGGGGATCTTCACGCAGATCTAATTGTGACTGGGGGTGTGCACACGGAATCAGTAGTGGCTGTTCCTGGTGGGTAGAAATCTTACTGTAATTCCCGTTTTTATTCTCTGAAATTCACTTACTTTTTAAAAAGATTAAATATTTCTGTGTCTCTCGCTGTATATTTACATACTAAACCAGATTATGGTGACTGTGAAATGAAAGTAGCATAATTAAGTGCAGTGCTTCCCAGCTGCTCTGTGTGCAGCACAGCTTGGCAGTGTGTGGGGTTGCTTTCCTCAGTGGGTGAGAGGCAGCTGAGGAGAAAAAAGCTTCTACAAAGGTTCTTCAGAGTTCCTCAGGAAAGCTCTTTCTTGTCGTGCTGTTGCATCTCAGGGAGACAAAAACGAGACACGTTTAGTCGTGCACAAAGTGGAACTTGAGCAGCCTGGAGACTCCAGTGGGGAGCTTCTTCCAGAGCTGTTTGCTGTGGAAAGATGAGAGAGCCCATTGATTCCTGTTGCCCTTGGGCTTGTAAATGGGTATATTCTGGTGCAGCACTGCTCTGCCTGTTCCTGCTGCGAGTCGGAGCTTCAGGGAAACATCTCAGTGCCGTGCCAGGGCTGGGAAGCTGGAGTTTCCCTGCCTGGCTCAGTTCTTACTCTTCCTTTGGGCAGGCTGCAGTCTGGAATGAGAAGTTGTTCATATATAATCAGGGGTACTACATCGTACTTTAATCATTTAGGTTTAAATGTTACGGTTTCTGCGAAGTCATGTTTATTTTTTCCGCTCTTGTTCCCGTTGACGTCCTTGGCATCGGGGATCTCGGCTCTCTGTGAATGTGTGTAGTTTATAGTCTGTCAGCTTCCCTTGTGACAGATGTCAGGGTAATTGCCTCGTGATTTATTTTGCTCTTAAATAACCAGCAAGTGAGGAAGGGGAAAGCTGAGCCAGAAGACAGAGTTGTGACCAAACGAGTCTTATCTGGAAATCTGGGAGCAGCGGGGTAGGATTTGTCTGAAATTGGAAAGTAAGATGCCAGCAAAAGCAATTTCAGCAACATTTAAAAGGCTTCATTCATGTGATAGTTCGTGATGTTTCGTGTTTGTTCATTTTTCTCATGTTTGAGAGTTTAATTTAACATGAATCTTTTTTTATCTGTAGTCAGGTCAATTCGCTGTCTCTAAATAGAAGTTTAAGTAGTATTTTCCTTGGCCTGGACATCAGACTGCTTCCCAACATCAGCACTGGGAATTTCCAGTGCTTCCCTTCAGGATCAGGACTAGTTTTTTTAAGTTGTTAGAACCATAGGGTATAGCAGAGCAGAGCCTTGCTGGGCTTGTGTAGAACAGATGTTAGAAGCAGGATTTTTTTTGTTAGGAAATGGCATGGGAGGATGATGGGGAGTGTGAGTCTGACGATTAAATTACACCTCACTCTTTATAACCTGAATTATAACGGGCATTAAGCGGACAAGAATTTTGTCCTAAAGTTTGTGAATTCTTCATAATAACCCAATGTGTGCAGTATTTTAGTGATTATTAACTAGGTATCAGTTTACAGAGTTAATCCAGAACAGCTCTACCAGGCAGGGCATCACTAGTGCTTTTTCTTCTCTCTCAGGGATGTAGGAGCCTGTTTCCTTTAACAGCCTCAGTGAAATAAGTTACTTGAAATGACAATTCCAAAGGCTTTTTCCCGGGCATTGTTGTGTTGGTTTGAAAAACATGCACTTCCATAAATATTTTAGTGGCATTAAGAGCACAAATTTTTACTGTGGCACTGTTTGTGTTTCCTTCTCCGTTTCTTGGCGCTGTGTCCGGTAGCTCATCATCGACGGTGCTGCAGTTAATCATCTTGATGATCATGTTAAAGGTGATTTCTTAGGACCCTAATGCTGCTATATTTAATGCTGCTCTATCAAATACTGTCGTTTAGACAAAGATGATGCTCATACCAAAGCTGGTGTGTTGCTCATTAAATAGGTGTACTGTGGGTGCATATATTTAACAGGACTGTGAAAATGTTAACTCTGCAATACAGTTACTTTTCTGACAATGCTGCTGGTTTTCAGGTGATTCCTTTTGTAGATACAAGGACTAAATATATGGCTATTTGGTGAAAAAAAAAAACAGTTTTCAATAAAAGTATAGCTGCAAACAGTGTTCTGTGAGTATTTTTAAATATAAGTGTACTAGAAGCTGAAATGTTTTTCTTGAGTGATTTAAGCTAAATGCTGGCATGAGGGATCTTGGAATCGTTCAGTGTTAGGAATAGCCTTGAAAACCCATGGATGTGCTGGAAGCAGGTGGTTGTTGGTGTGTGGAGGAGGGTGCTGGGGGTGCAGGTCATGCACCTGACATTGGGTATTGCCTTTTCAGCTCTGCAGCAGCTCAGCCATGAAGTGAAAGGAGAGGTGTGGGCAAGGGGAGAGCAGGCACCTGGTCACTTGGGAAATGACAGGCTCAGGTACAGCCTGGTGATGCAGGAAATAAGGGATTTTGTGGTATTGTTTTCCTAAAGTGCCTTTGCTTCGTGATCCCAGGATCTGGTTGCTGTCAGGATCTCTGTGTCAGTGTTTTCCAGTGGTTCCACCCAGCCTGCTTACCTTGCCTGGACTCCATAGTAACAGGGTTATTAGAAGTCTGTGTGTGGCCTGTCACTAATAATCGTGTGGTTACAAGATCAAGCTGGAAACATATTTATCATAAGTAGCTTTATACCCTAAAATCATAAAATTGCCACCTGCTGGAGGAAAACGTGGGCTCCTTGCCTCTGAGTGTGTAGATGAGGGGGGTGTCAAAACCAAAGGAGAAGATAAAGCAAAAAATATCTTTCCTGTAATGTAAAAGAGAGTTTTGATATTCCGGGTGTTAAAAAAGATGTTAAAATGTTATAAATGAGAAGGTCAGTGTGGGGTAGGAGAAGGGCTGGTGTTTAGTTCACCCACCAGAGAATGCTTTGCTGGCAGGTGAATAAAATATTCCTTAGCCTTGGCTTTCCCTGGGGTCAGTGCTGCAGCCATGGCCCAGGTGAGTTGGCACTTCTCTTTTTTTTTTTTCTTTTTTTTTTTTTTTTTTTTTTTTTTTTTTTTTTTTTTTTTTTTTTTTTTTTTTTTTTTTTTTTTTTTTTTTTTTTTTTTTTTTTTTTTTTTTTTTCTTTTTTTTTCTTTTTTTTTTCTTTTATTTATTTTTTTTTTCTTTCTCTTGGGCTAGAAAATTCTCTTTGGAAAGGTGCTGAGAAAAAGCAGCTGTGGGTTGGACCACCACAAGTGCTGAGCAGCCCAAGGCACCGAGTTAGAAGCCGAAGAACAGAATATAAGAATATTAAATGCAGTGCAAACTGATAATCAGAGGAAGTTTTTTTTTTTTCCACAAAGTTGCCTGTGTGTAGGATATGTTTAATTCTGAGTAGTCAAAACAAATGCTGAGATAAACTTTGGATTATAGCATCCTTTAAGATCTTGAATAATGCTTGTAGCGTGTATTAGAACAATAGAAAACTTCATAAAATACTAAATAAAGGTGTCTTTTACTACTGTTTTTCCTTAAAAAGGCCATTTTTCAGTGTACAGTGTAACTCCTGGGCATCACCTGTGACATCCTGAGGACATGCACTGTACACACACCTAGTAGGGCATTTATAGGAGGTAATATTTCATTAGGCATCTAAAAATACTGCCAAATACTACCTCTTTTAGGAGCCAGGTAGTAGGTCTGGTATTCCCTGATTCCCTCAGCTCTCCTCCACAGACTGTTTAATTTATCAAGGGCCATTTACATACATGTAAGGACGTTGGGATCATTAACCAGAACTTGCTCTTTTTCCCCCCTCCTTGTTATGTTAATATATTGCTTTGAGAAGTAACAATAATTAAGAGAAAAGTGGGTGAAAATTAGCATAATAATGGGAAGCAATAGAATAATGAGAAGCTGGAGATTTAAAATCATCTCCATGTGGACAGTCACTTAAAAACTTGTACGGGGTGGGGTGTACTCAGGGAGCAGCAAATACTCTGTTTTCACCTGCTGTATTCTGTGTGACACTGTTGGCTGTGTTTTGGGGGAGGAACCAGGGTTGGATAACATAGAGAGTGGTGGTTTTAATTGTCCTGTTTCTCCTGGATCACGCTCAGTCTCTGCTCCTTCACCGAAATGCTCCTGGGGTGTGTGATGATGTTCTTGCACCGCCCCGTAAACAGCACTAAAGCACGAAGTGCTGTTGGGGTGTTACCTCTGCAGGCTCCTGTTCCTGGCTCCCTGCTTCCTCCACGAGTGATAGGGTTAAAATTTTATATCTTGATATTTAGGATCATTCTTCATAATAAATCAGAACTGTAGCAGGTTGCCAGCCCTCTTTATTCGCCCTTCAGCAAGTGTTGGGCAATGTCCATAACAGGCTGTTGCTAAATGTTTATGTGTTGCCTCGTTCAAAAGCTGCTCTGATAAAGCTACTTCACTTCTTAGCTTTAATAATATAAGGGCAATAATGTAATGATTTAAATATAGAGATGGTTAAGGGGTGAGAGTGTGATTTCACAGTGAACTAATTTAACAGCGAGATAGTCAACCAGAAGACTGCTTCGAGACCTCCTGAGATGAATCTCTGTGTTCTGCTTCCTCTCTTACAGTCAACGAGTTCACAGTCATCAGGAAGAAATTCAAGTGCCCCTACTGCAGCTTTTCAGCCATGCATCAGTGCATCCTGAAGAGACACATGCGATCCCACACGGGAGAAAGGCCCTACCCCTGCGAGATCTGTGGGAAGAAGTTCACCCGCCGGGAGCACATGAAGCGACACACCTTGGTAAGGGCAGGGCAGTGCTGGGGGAATCAGCCCTTTCGTTGGGGTTCAAAAGAAGAGGGGCTTCGCCTGATTTAAGTCTGGATTTTGTTTTCCCCCTCCCTGGGGCTCGACTGAAGGCTTCTCCTGCATCGTTTTTCCCTGCCTTTCAAAGGCCTTGTGGTTGGCTGCCTGTTCATCCAGAGCTGACCTCCTCCTGCTCTCCGAGCTCAGCTGGGGGGTTTCCAAGGTTTAGATTGGATATTAGCAGAAAATTCTTCGTGGAGAGGGCTGACTGGCAAGCCCTGGCACAGGCTGCCCAGGGCAGTGGTGGAGTCACCTTTCCTGGAGGGGTTTAACAGGTATATATAGATGTGGCACTTTGAGGGGCACAGTTTAGTGGTGGGCTTGGCAGTGCTGGGGGAACGATTGGATGTGATCCTGGAGGGCTTTCCCAACCTTAACAATTCCATAATTCTATGACTCAGTACAGAAAGCTTTAAAATACATTACTCAGCAAGAATTCGAGCCAAAGCTACTCTGGTCTGGCCACGCTTAGTTATCAAAAATACTGTTAAACCTTATTAAAAAAGGGCTGCTCAGCTCCAGCTCCAAGGCTGGTGCTGGTGTCTGGCTCTTCACGGCTTCCTCAGAAACAAAATTTTATGCCAAACATTGGTTATTTTTCTTTTATAGGGTAGAATTACTTCCCCATCCTAGAGAGGGTTCTCCAGGCTCGGTGTAGAGGTGCTGTTGTGGGAGAGCAGACAGTTTCCAGGCGATTATTTCGGCAGCAGGTGCTGGCAGTGGGCACAGCTCACCAACCCCAGCCCCGGAGCACCGGGACCATCGGGGGCCTGCCTGACAATTCGCCACAAACCCCCACCACCTCCCCGCACGTGTGTCCGTTCGGATGAGTGCCCAGCCATCTGCTCAGGGAACTGCCTGCTCCCCGAGATGCCCCTTCCCTGTTTCCTTGGGGCCTTGTGGCTCTGGTGTTCCAGAGGCAGATCCAGCAGCGAGCTCAGTCCTGCTGCAAGCCCACGGGTTTCAGGATGGGTTACTGGTTTTGCCTTGTGGTGCCAGCTGGTTGCCTCCAGCATTTTATTTCTGAGAGCTTTCCCTTTTGATAATTTTTTTCCCATAAACTTAGGGTGTTGTCAGCACATTCCCCCTCCCCCCCCTTCGTTGGAATATTGGTATTTAGTCAGTTAGAATATGATCTTGCTGATGGCATGGTCTGATACTGAGGGTCAGATGCTGTCTCTGTGTTTAATACTTACTAATTTGGCAGTGAGGGAAATAAGATTAGTTTCTGCTCAGCTGCATCTGGGAATATGGTTGTCTTTGAAGCAGCTGACTGAACTGTTAGAAAAGAGGGAGAGAGGTGATCAGATTTTTAACAGATATTCAGCCTACTCTAGTGGCAGGTGTCCCTGCCCGTGGCAGGGGGTTGGAAAAAGGTGAGCTTTAAGGTCCCTTCCAACCAAAACCAGCCTGTGATAATTACAAATTGCTTTAGTACCTGTTCTATAATTCCTTCTTTTTATGGTTCGTTCAGCCCTTATTCTGCACCCCTGACCACCTTCTGTTCTCCTATTCAGCTTTTGATGCCTGAAAATCATTCTTCTGCAAGTTAAAAGTGAGTGATACCTATAGATCCAGCTGGATGACTCTGACCAGCCCTGTCCAACTGCTTTTGAAGAAAATAATAAAATCCAAAATGCCTTTGCTTGTTGCAAGTAGAAGAATGTCGTGGGGACTGGCTCAGAGTAGGGGAACCTGCAGCCAGAGCACATCAGAGGCACTCCCAGGCTTTGAACACGGCTGGGACTGGTGTGACACAGAGCCTGAGCCACTGTCCTGTGGCAGAGAGGGCTGAGGGGCTACGATGGGTCAATTTGTCCTCTTCCCAAACAGCTTTAGCTCAGCTGAGTATTCCAGGGCACAGGGTTATGGAGAATCAGGTTAGAGCTGCTGATCCCATGCCGAGGCAGGAGCAGGGAACTGGCATCCAGGCAGCTGCTTTAAAATATAAGGAAGGGCTTTAACCAGCCAAACTTTTCCCACAGGCTGTTTCAGGAGCATGGGAAGAAATGAGTTAAAAAAGGATTAGGGACTGGTGATTCGTGCCCTAAGGCTGTGGTGGCTGATGGGCTGACCCCAAATCATTGGCCACTGGATCCTTATCTGCTTCTACACCTCTTCCCAAAGTGTCCCTGAGGATCAGTTCCAGCCACAGGGAACAGTGCCTGGGCTGTCCCTGTGTAGTGTTAATATATTAAAAAAAGAATATATATATATAAATATAAAAGAGAAATTTCTAATGTATATTAGGCAACCCTAAAATAGGCAGTTGGACAAGAAGATTTGCCTAGGTCCCTTCTGACTAAACTATTCTATATATTAAAAAAAAATTCATATATATTTAATGTGTGTGTGTGTGTATATATATATATATATACACAAAAAATGAAAGTACCTGATGAGGCTCCCTGTGATGAAATTAATGAGTTCTCCCTGCACTGGTTTCCTTTAGCAGAGGAGCAGGTGAGTGGTTTGACAAGCTCCTTGCCTTCCATGCAGGGCAAAAGTGGCCAAGGACAGATTTCACTTTTAATTGGGTGATTTCTTCTTCTCAGAGGGTGTAACTTTGCTCACTGAGTAGTGAAGTGTTTGACTCTTGAAGTGATTTCTGGTTTCCTGCAGAGCATTTTCCCACTTGCCACATGTTCTGTGATAGCAGAGTGCAACCTGAGTTATGGAACAGAAACATTTGTGACAAACCAAAGTAGTCAGAAATAAAGTCACAAGTGCAACCAGATGTGGGGGGTTTTTTTGGAGATGCAGGATGCATTCCCAGTCCTCCTGCTCTTTGGTTCTGGGCAGCAGTAGGATCAGGATGAACCCCACTAAATCACCATGACATTAGCACTGTTTTGGTCAGGGTAGTTCTGCTCTGTCTGCACAGAACTGGTGCTTGGGGTTTGTTTTTTTTTTTCTCTAATTGAGATTTTCCTGGTGTTGGTGCAATGCAGCTCTTGCACCCCAGAAGAACAGAAAGAAAAAGGGAGAAAAAAAAAAAAGCAGGTGCTAAAAGTTCCTCTCAGAACTACTTGATGGTGAGTGGGCAGTCCCAAAGAATTTTCCATTGTGTGTCACCATTGCAGGGTTGAGTTTGCAGTAAAGCCGACTGTGATCTCAGGCCCCAGCGGTGGATTTGCCTTCGCAGAGGACACGGGAGGGCGTCCTTCCCTGCAGCTCTCCCTCTGCCTCCGTTGGCATTAACCTTTCTGCTCGTTCTCCTTCTCCAGGTCCACAGCAAAGACAAAAAATACGTCTGCAAGGTGTGCAACCGGGTGTTCATGTCGGCGGCCAGCGTGGGCATCAAGCACGGCTCCCGCCGCCACGGCGTCTGCGCCGACTGCTCCGGCCGCGGCATCGCCGGCCACCTGGACCACAACGGTGGAGAAGGGTCCCCAGACGAGTGTTACCCCGGGGAAGGGCAGTACATGGAAGACCCGGATGACATCAAAGTGGAAGGTGACGAGGAGATGGGGGACGACGACGACATCAAGTGGAAGGACGACGTGGGGATGTCACAGGATGATGTGATTTTAGATGACGACAAAGATGTTGACTCCCCCCAGGAGCCGGACAACTCTGGGGAGAACGACAAGGATTTTACCTGGATTTCTTAGGGATTTTTTTTTTTTTTTTTTGGTTTGGTTTTTTTGTTTCGCTCTGTCGTTTGTAGGGGGAGGGAGGGCGGGGAGGAAGGAGTACGTTGGAAAAACTTAAGTAGCCTTGTTGTCGTCCATGTGTGCAAAATAACTCTCGTGTTTTCTAAACAAGTCCTTCTCTGTTCCACTCAGACACTGTCTTAGCAGTGTCGCTTCCAGCGGCACGACTGACTTCGCCTTCC